GTTTTGACACTGTCACGTGACATAGTTATGGATTATCATATGTATGGCAGTTATCAAATCCACATCAAACACTACATTAGTGTTTTGTATTGTGCAAAACACATCAAGAAATGAAATCTTATTGATATAGAAGTCTTAAACAACTGGAGATTGTTTGTGATAGAACTTCTGCAGCACTCAAACTACTTGCTAGGTAAGACACTGGCTTTTATAAATAGACCACACTCTTATGGATTGAGGTATGTTGTTCAATATTGACAATTTGTCCATTAAATATTTTTATAATATTGGAGTACTAACTTAGGCGTCAAAGGATCCCCAACCGTTCAACAGTTGGGGATGTTTCGTGGTGGCTTTGATCATCATCTTCGTTAGATTTCTTTATCAACAAGTATGTAATTTTTCTTGTATTCGTATAATAGATTTTCAGTAATTATATATATATATTTTTAACATTATATTGGGTTGTAATTTTCCCTAGTACCAAAAGACCTAATCCACGGGATACATTAACTTTGGCCTTGTTTGGGGAGTAACTATTTTAGCCAAAAAAGTTAAATAGTCACTATAAGTTGTCACATCATTTTCTTTATTTTCTACATATCATTTCTTAAAAAGTCAAAAAATTACTAAAATAGGTTGTTCCCAAACGAGACTTTTGTATTGAGAAAAGCATAAAAGGTTGACTTGTCAACCATTCGCTCGCAAGGGCGAAAATGTAAAAAGCCATTTTTGTTAGAGCATCTCTTGGAGATGTTAATTTTATATGTGTTTAAGTGTGTTATGTGACAAAAAGTGATAAAAATAAGATCTAAAACTATGTCTTAAAAGTTTATTAATTTAGAGAGTCAATGGTGGTACAATGAATGTGTTAAAGTGTGTGCTAAGAATATATAAATATATATATATATATATATAAATAATACAAAAAAAGTGCATTGGGCTCCAGCCCACTACACTGTCAGTGTGCTGTGCCAGTCCCTTCTCTCCCTCTCTCTCTCGTATTTGCAATTGTTAACAATTTTTAGTTGTACTGAAAAAGTTAAAAAGATAAAAGGGGGATTTGGTGATAGCCCCCTCACTATCTAATTTGTTTTTCAAAAGAACAAGAATTATATAAATACTTTCAAAACCCCCTAATATTTTAAAACTTGTTTCTTTTACTATATTACCCTCATATCTATTAGCTCTCCTATTAAACCATCTTCACTGTGTATTTCAGAGTAAAATTTTACTCTGTTTAAAAGTAAAATTTTACTCTGAATAAGAGTAAAATGTTACACTCTGAATTTAAAAGTAAAATTTTGCTCTGTATAAAAGTAAAATTTTACTCTGAAAAACTAGTAAAATGTTAGACTCTGCACAAAAGTAAAATTTTACTCTGTATAAAAGTAAAATTTTATTCTGAAAAACGAGTAAACTGTGAGACTCTGGAGCTAAAAGTAAAATTTTACTCTGTATAAAAGTAAAATTTTATTCTGAAAAACTAGTAAAATGTTAGACTCTACACAAAAGTAAAATTTTACTCTGTATAAAAGTAAAATTTTACTCTAAAAAACGAATAAACTGTGAGACTCTGAAGCTAGAAGTAAAATTTTATTCTGTATAAAAATAAAATTTTACTCTGAAAAACTAGTAAAATGTTAGATTCTACACAAAAGTAAAATTTTACCCTGTATAAAAGTAAAATTTTACACTGAAAAACAAGTAAACTGTGAGACTCTGAAGCTAAAAGTAAAATGTTACTCTGTACAAAAGTAAAAAGGCGAAGGCAGTGTTTGTGGCGGCTGAAGTGTTTGGCAATGACCACCTAGAGTAAAATTTTACTTTAGTTTTAGAGTGTAAAATTTTACTTTCATACAGAGTAAAATTTTACTTTCATACAGAGTAAAATTTTACTTTAGTTTCAGAGTGTAAAATTTTACTTTCATACAGAGTAAAATTTTACTCTGGTTCTGTCAAGTGAAAAAAACAGAGCAAAATGAAATTAGATCAAAAACAACAAAAATAAATCAAAAAACAAACAAACAAACAAAAACAAAACAAATTAATTAACAAATCAACATATCTAATTGAGAAGAAAAACTTTTAAAACTCGATCAACAATCACAAATCTCAATGAAAAGAACACACGTGTTCAACAGCACGAATACACACAAATATATATATAACATTACAACACTCATACACACAAATATTATAGATCGATTCCGTTTGTGTGCTGAGAAAATGGAGGAAAATATTATATAACATTACAACGAAAACTTATGGATCACGTCTCTTACGTTTTTTACGAATTTCATTTGTATCAAGTAACGAAGCCAAAAGAGATCCAGGAAGTTATCTTGTCAAATGAAGAAGAAAACACGATACTTCTTGTGATCTGTTGCCTCACAATTGCTTGCAAGATGAGGATTAGGTCCTTCAATGTTGAACTATTTCTGGTAATCGAAACTGCTATATTCTTTGTCTGATTGATTCTGATGATCTGTTAGTGCTATTGTTTCAATAAATTTGATCTGCTGATACTTGGAAGACGCGACTATGGTGCCGCCGACCTTCTGCTGAAGTTTCGAAGACACAACTATGGTGATTATGATATAGTTGATGACGAAGCTGATTATATATACAGAAGCTGAGGGTATAATAATCATATAAAATATTTAAATAATAAATTTTGTCTTTTATGCAAGACTTTATAATTATAAGGGAGTTTAGAAAGTACAATTTTTTTCTTAGTCCTTTTAACAATGAAAGGAAGGTAAAAGGGATTTATAACTAAATTTCCCGAGATAAAAAGTCACTATAACTTACATTACTCATTTTATTTTATTTTATTTTTTATATATTTTCTTGTAAAAATAAAAAAAAAGTTATAGCTATTGACACAAAAAATTGGTCTTAACACTATTCTTAAGAGTTCCATTGTGCAACAAAATATAAGGGGAAAGCAGCTAAATATTTTACTTCTTACACAGTGGGAGAGTTAACACTTTCATTGCGGATGTTCTTAGGGGTGAATGATGGATGATTTTGACAGGGGATGTCATTGCAATTTTAAAACCTCAAGAGAAGTTTCTGTCATTGTAATAAAACTCAAAGAAAATTAGTATAATTTATTCTAAAATATATTAAAAATTATAAAAATTTATTTTAAAATTTACGTATTAATTTTAAAATTTACGTCAGAAAGGAATGTATAGTGTGGAATAAAAGTTAATAGAAGAAGAAAATTACAAATTACAGATATTTTTTTATAAATAATTACATATTCATAATAAAGATTTATAATTTAATTATAAATTTACCTATCCAAATAATACATATTTTTGTATTATTTGGTATGCATCATTCTAGAATAGTGATAGTGAATTGAGAGCAACAGAACAATGCTGTGAGCCCGCAGGGGCATTTATCTTGTAAAGAGAAAGGGTATCATCACCATTCCACTACCTCTTATGTTTGATCTTGTCCACACGATTCAAAAGAAGTGTGTGACACATTTCTAATTCATGTAAAATGTGGAAATTTACTTTTTTAAATAGAAGATTACATTTTCCCAGCAGAACTTTTTTTCATTAAGTCAAGAATTCAGCTCATTTATTTGTATTGCTTTGAAAATATTTATAGATTGATTTTTTTTTAATTATTAAAAATAAATATAAAAAAATAAAAAAATAAAATGATTTAAATATATTGAATAAAATAATAAATAATTCTAATTCATGTTCTAATTAAGCTGCCTATTTTGACACTTAAATAAAAAATTTCCTTTTAATTTTTTAACTTTTTTAAAAACCAATCACACTGCAAACTGCTGATCCTTACCGAACTCTCTCTCTCTCCCTCTCTCTCCTCTCTCAAGAAGAAAAAACCAAAAAACCATGTCGAAACTCCTCAAAGGTGTTCATATCCTGATATTTCCATAACCCAGCTCAAGGCCACATGTTCCCATTGCTGGCCTAGCCCACCAACTAGCCCTCTCCGTGGAATCTACCATATAACCATTTCTTGGTACACCAAAGAAACCTCCCAATCCTGAACCCCCTCCTTCTCAACCCACACCCATCTCAACCAGACCTGGTCTTCCCTTCCCATCGCCACCCGTCTCTACCCCTCTGGCGTCGAGAAATCAAGGACATCGGCAACGCAGGCAACTTAACCAGATCAAACGCCCTCGGCAAGCTTCACGATCCAATAATTCCACCTGGTTCAAGTCCCACCCAAAATTCACCCACCTGTGGCTAATCATCTCTGATTTCTCGCTTGGTTGGACCCTCACCTTGCCCACCAACTTGGTATCGCCAGGATCGTTTTTTCAACTCATTGCCTCTTTTTTAATCTGTGTCCTAATTTCCTTTGGCAAATATTGACACTGTCCGCTCTTTACCCGTCGTTCATTTCCCGATCTACCAAGATCGCCGAGTTTCGCTGCGATCATCTTCCTTCTATTATACCGGCATTAGGGAGATCGAATCCTGTATGGGAGTTTCTTAAGAGTGATAGCATGCTCGCTAATATAACCAGTTGGGGCTGTGTTTTTAATTCTCTTGATGCCTTGGAAGGTCAGTATTCTTGGATTCACTTGAAAGAACAAAATGGGAACATCACGGATGTGGTAGTTGGGCCTCTTAGTTTGTTTGCTCGGGGCTGAAACCATGGTCGGATCAACCCGGATAAGGATTCCAGGAGAACAGGGTGTTGCTTGGCTCGATGGG